AACAGTGTCTGAAAAAGGGGCAAGTCGGTAGACAGCGCTACACTACATCTGGCTGTGAGCGAGGCTGCCTATGGTAAAGCATTGAGCCACTCCCGAGTGTACAATAAAGTAGGATATTAAATGGAATCAGTGGTTAACAATGCAGGAAAACATGTGTGCATGATTTTCAGCAAGAATCCCAACTAGAAAACACAACTCAGCAAGTCTTTTTTTTTCACTCCCTGGGTTCCCCTTTGTCCTCTTGTGGTGAGACGGTCTGAGTCAAAACATCCCCACTTGCACTCTCTCCTATCTGCAGACGGTGCTGAAGTGAGCCGAGGGTTTTTATATAATCGGGTCGATGTTGAGAAGATTGTTTCCGTTTGCCGGGGGAGTGCAGAACTTAATGGCCATCGATTTAACACAGCCACAGCTAAATCCAGTCAGGAATTTGGGAGAAAGTTCTTCTGCTGAGAGAGACCAGTGAGCGTTTGTAACTATCAGTTATAACATGACTGCAGTTGTTTCACGAAGGAGAAGCCAGATCCAGAAGCCAGAAGGATGTTATTAAGCTGGAGAGGGTTCAGAAGAGGTTTTAGCAGGATGTTGCCAGGAATGGAAGGTTTGAATTATGAAGTGAGGCTGGATAGGCTGGGACGTTTTTCACTGGAGCATCAGAGGTTGAGAGGTGGACCTTATCGAGGTTTATAAAATCATGAAGGGCATAGATACGGTGAATGGCAGGTGTCTTTCCCGTTGGTGGGGGATTTGAAGAGTAGGGGGCATTTATTTAGGGCAGCACGGTGGCTCATTGGTTAGCGCTGCTGCCTCACAGCGCCAGGGACCCAGGTTCGATTCCACCCTCGGGCGACTGTCTGTGTGGAGTTTGCACATTCTCCCCGTGTCTGCGTGGGTTTCCTCCGGGTGCTCCGGTTTCCTCCCACAGTCCAAAGGTGTGCAGGTTAGGTAGATTGGCCATGCTAAATTGCCCGTAGTGTTCAGGGATGTGTAACTTAGGTGGTTTATCGGGGATGGGTCTGGGTGGGATGCTGCAAGGGTCAGTGTGGACTCGTTGGACCGAAGGGCCTGTTTCCACACTGTAGAGATTCTATTCTAATATTTAAGGTGAGGGGAGAAAGATTTAAAAAAGACATGAGGGGCAATTCCTTTGCACACAGAGTGGTTTGTGTGTGGAATGAGCTTCCAGAGGGAGTGATGGATATGGGTAGTAGTTACAACGTTTAAAACACATTTGGGTAAATACATGAATAAGAAAGGTTTGGAGGGATTCGGGCCAAGCGCAGGCAGGTGGAACTAGTTTAGTTTGGGATTATGGACCAGTTGGATCGAAGGGTCTGTTTCTGTGCCATATGAGTCTAGGTTGGCACATGAAGGAGGAAGGCACAGAAAGATCCCAAGCTAGAGATGAGACGAGGTAAGAGTGGGAGGAGGTCCATGCGGCGTACAAACACTGGCAAAAGCCAACGGTATTGTGTTTCTCCGCCACCGCAGTTCCACCTAACACACTGCCACCCTCTCTCTACCCCAAACCAGATCAGTGCCAGGACACCGAGACGAGGCAGTTTTACCAGATCGGCGAGAGCTTTCAAAAGTACCGGGATGGAATCCAGTACCTGTGCCACTGCTACGGCCGGGGAATCGGAGAATGGTCCTGTCAGCCACAGTCAGCCTCACCAGGTAGGATTGTACCCCCCTCCCACCCCCAACCACCGATCGGGACTGGGGCTCTGGTGCTGAGGGGAGCACCGGGCCGTCGAGAGCTGCCACCAAGGATAAGATGTTAAACCTAGTCCCCATCTGCTCTGATGAGGGGCGGATGGAAGTGATCCAGTGGGCACCATCCACAGGCAGCAGAGGAGGTCTCCTCAAAAAGGCGTGGCTAAAGATGGATCCTTTAAGCGCAATAGCCTCAACCGTGGGATCTTCCCATGCACAGGTTGGCTAGGATTTGTGCTCACATCTCTGAGGTGATGGGCCTTGACCACGGTATCTCCTCATTCACGGGAGCGTGACTGGTTGAGCCCAGTCGGACACTCTTGGGGGTTGAGAACGTGCTGTGGGATTTGTAGGCGCACGGTTCCATTTCCCCCCCTTAGTCTTCGATTGACTTGATCCTCCCATCCCCACCACCCTCCCCAATTGTCAACTTGAGGCAGGAACAGCGACCGATTCACGCTATGAGAAGCTGGCGCTGTTGCAACAAGTTGAGTGCCACCTTGTTGAACAAATTGATGCCAAACCACCACCTCTCAGATCATAAAACCGTTGTAATGTGCAGGGAGTGGGAGAGATGCAGTTGGCGGGCCGGGTTGTGGGTAGCACAGCTGCTCAAAAATATCGTCAAGTGACCAGGCCTGAGGCCCTGTGGGCGATGTACAGCAACCAAAGCAGGCGGCCATATTGATTTGACTAATTCGCCATGCACAGCTCTTTTTATAAACGTGATCAGGTTTTCACCACACAAACCCGGGATTTTGCCACAGCTTAAACTTCCAACATTCTTAAATTCTGGAACGTTATCCCTGAACATCACCTCAGCAGCTGTCTCTCCTCCTCAGTTCATACCTGTCATGTTGATCAAGCTTTTGGTTATATTGGCTTTAAATGTTAATACTCCTGCAAAGCGTCTGGAAATCTTAATTTTGTGTTAACAATAATATATGATGTGTTGCAAGTTATGAGTACATGTTCCATAGACTAGGCTTGTGCTCCTTTTGGGAGTAGAAGGTGAAGCAACGATCTTCTCAAAGTGATATCACAGACAGAAACGGTTTCCTCTGCTTGGGGAGGTCCAGGTCAAAACTGAGATAGACTTTTCTGAGCCTACTCAGGGATAGGCACCAAAGCTGGTAAATGGAGTTAAAATCCACTTGAGCCACATTCTGACGGAGCGGTGGAATGAGTTTGAGGGGCTGAATGGCCTCCTGGTCCAATATCACGGCACCAAAGACGCTAAGTTATATTCCAAGTGAGCCCCACTCTAATGGAATGATGAATCGTTTTGAGGGGCTGAATGGCCTTCTGCTCTGACATCACTGGCCTGAAGAGCTGAAAGCCCTTACGCTCCTGATTGAGTGAATGCAGCGCCGGTAGATATCCGAGAGGCCTGGGGACTGCCGGGAAAGGCAAAACTGAGAAATGCTCAGACCGCAGGAAGAGGCTGTCCATCTGTTGAGTTTGTGTCGGCTCCTTCAGAAAGTCTCTCTGCATCTCTCTCTCTCTCTCTCCCTCCCTGATCACTGGGCCCATGCCCCTGCACATATTTCTTCGATGATGCTCGTATGGGCTGCTATCTTATGCCAGCAAGGAAGTAAGGCAGTTTGTGATTTGTACTGATTAATGCGACTGGCTGCACTGCCTAGAGGGAGTAACAAAGTTTAATCATTTTGAAGTAATTATCCTTCATAAACTCGCTGATTTATACAGTCGGGCAGGGCTCTGCAGTGCTTGTTTCTAACCCCCTTTCCCGTCTTTCCTGTTGGCTTGATTGAAGTATATTGCTTTGCAACATCAAGGGCCTAGAACACCCGTCCAAAACTCCAAATCGAAGCCATCAGCATGGGTAAGACACTGGGGCTTGGCAAGGTCATGACCCTGGGAGGTGCCAAGCAAGCCATTGCCTGTGAATATGCAGCACCCAACCCACCACCGCTTCCCCCCCCCCCCACCCCCGCCACCCTCCCCATTCACCCAGCAACTTCCAATGGCAGCGAAATGGTTGTCATGTGCAGGGAGTGGGAGAGATGCAGTTGGAGGGATGGGTTGTGGGTAACACAACTGCTCAAAAATATCGTCAAGTGACCAGGCCTGAGCCCTTGTGGGTGATGTACAGCAACCCTAGCAGGCGGCCATATTGATTTGACGAATTCGCAATGCACAGCTCTATTTATAAACATGATCGGCACATCCCACACCACCCCCAGACCTAAAGGTTGTTGCTCCGGATCGATATTATAAACCATCACTAGGTTTAACGTTGAGAAACTTTGCCTTCTCGCTGTAGGATTGGTAACAAATGAGGGGGGGGAGCTGGGGGGGGAGTCACCCGCACGCCTACTTCCCATTTTAACAAATTCTGTGCCGACTTCAGTTGAAGGGAATCCAATTCAGTCAAAAGCTTCACTCTAAAATGAAGTAGAAGGGTAAACTGCCCTGATTGCCGAGTGCAGTCAGAGAGGATACTCCTGGCAAAGTGGCCACGTGTGCAACTCCCTCCTGAGCAATTTTGAATCAGCGATACGAAAGAGATTGTTTTCTTTTAAGGTTGAATTTGTTTTCAGACCTTCTATGAGCTACCTCTCCCCCAGGCCCTTCCTTTCCTCTGGTTTTTGTCACATGTGAGTTACGGGCACTGCGCAACACCCCTCCAACACCGCGGCCCCCCCCCCCCCCCCCCCCGCCCCCCCCCCCCGCTGACCTCACTGGACAGTGAGTGTTGCAGAACAGGCTTTCTGAAGCACGTCTCTGTCCCAATTTAATGTTGCTTCCTGCCAAGTTCATTGAGAGTGCACTGAGCTAGATTGCCAAATGTGTAAATGGGCCAAACGCCTTCTCCCTTACCGCACAGATGAGAAGATGCATGGGCTCTCAACTGAAGAGACTCGCAGTGTGCCGGTACCAGGTTAGCGAGTAACTGAGTGTGAGAGGTAGTCACCATGTTATTGACTGGTCAGTATGTAGCCATCAGTTTGGAAACAATAATTACTCACTGTAGTTAGATCGGTAACTAAATAAGTGGGTAGTCATTAGCAGTTAGAGACTTTGAACAACTTGTAACGTGGCAATTAGGCAAGGGGAATATTTACTTGAAATGCATCCTGGTTACTAATTTGACAATATTAGTAATGATGCAGTCAACCAGGTTAATAATTAGATACTACCTGACCTGACTGACAAATGAATTGCTGCTTATGACCAATACTGATATATAATGTCATCAGGTTAGTAACTAGGATACCAAAAGATTCCATTATACAATCGACAAGTTAGTAACCCCAGTGAAATTAGTTGCTTCTAGTAAACAGTAACTAAGTGTAACGACAAGCAGTAGTTTGGAATGGAAACCCTGCTCAGACATGATAATATCAATGGCAGCGTTCTTATAGCTGCCCTGCAGAAGAGGCCGTTCAGCCCCTCAAACCTGTTCCACTGTCATTGGCTCCATATCGCTTAAAAGTTTATTGGTAAGGTCCTGGGGAGTGTTGCTGAACAAAAAGAGCTTGGAGTGCAGGTTCATAGTTCCTTGCAAGTGAAATCACAGTTGACAGGATAGTGAAGGCATTTGGTACGCTTGCTTTTATTGGTCAATGCATTGAGTATAGGAGTTGAGAGATCATGTTGCGGCTGTACAGAACATTGATTAGGCCACTTTTGGAATACTGCACTGAATCCTGGTCTCCCTGCTATAGGAAGCAAGTTGTGAAACCTGAAACGGTTCAGAAAAGATTTACAAGGATGTTGCCAGGGTTGGAGGGAGATGCTGAATAGGCTGGGGCTATTTTCCCTGGAGCTTTGGAGGCTGAGGGATGACCTTGTAGAAGTTTATAAAATCACGAGGGCATGGATAGTAGGAGTAGCCAAGTTCTTTTTTCCCAGGGTAGGGTAGTCCAAAACCAGAGGGCATAGGTTTAAGGTGAGAGGGGAAAGATTTAAAAAGGACCTAAGGGACAACTCTTCCATGCAGAGCGTGGTGTGTGTATGGAACGAGCTGCCAGAGGAAGTGGTAGAGACTGGTACAATTACAACATTTAAAGGGCATCTGGATGGGTACGTGAATAGGAAGGGTTTAGAGGGATATGGGCCAAATGCTGGCAAATGGGACTAGATTAATTTAGGATATCTGGTCGGCATGGACCAGTTGAACTGAAGGGTCTGTTTCCATGTTGTACAACTCTCTGTCTCTATAATTTAACCTGTGGCTAATAACTAGAACAGTATGAATCCACATGCTGATGGATGTTTGAACATAGAACATAGAACAGTACAGCACAGTACAGGCTTGTGTGAGGTTATTTTCAACTGTGCCCTCACTCACTGACTTTGGGGCAGAAATGCCTATGGTCGAGAGACAGAGAAGGTACTTTAATGGTGAGACTGCAATACGTAAAGGATATACGTAGAAAGGCCCTGGGGAAACTGGGGAAAGGATTTGCCAGAACCAAGAGATTATTAGGCTTTTGAATTTACCAAAGACTGAGGATGCTGGTCTTTAAGGGCTTGATAGGGTAGACATAGAGCAATGATTCCACTTGTGATGCAGGTCAAAAGCAGGAGTCATTAATATAAGACAGTCATGAACAAATCCAACAGGGAATAAAATAAATCCGATAGAGAGATCTGCAGAAACCTCTTCACTCAGAGTGTGGGCTCACTACAATGTGGAGTAATTGCATTCAGGGGAAGGCTGGACAAACTACCAATGGAGGAAAGAATTGAGGGAGATGCTAATGGAGTACGAGCGAAGGGAATCACATGGAGTATTTATGGATCAATTAGGTCGAATGGCCTGTCCTGTTGTTGTAGCCTCAATGCAGTTCTCCGTAAAACTGTGCGTTCGCAAAGCTCCCTGAGCTATTATTCTGTCTGCTCCGTTCTAATGTAGGACCTATCAAAGTGCTGATCACGGAGGCTGGGAACCAGACGAACTCACATCCCATCCTTTGGAACAAACCGGAATCGTATCACATCGTCCGGTACATCCTGAAATGGAAGCCTGTAAGTATACCCACCCCCTGATCAATAATGGAGCTAGGAGAACCCTGGTCTCCCTCTCTCTCTTTATATATCTCTCTCTCTTTCTTTCTCTCTAGCTCTTCCTTTATCTTTCTCAATCTCTATCTCTCTCTCTTTCTCTCTCTCTTTCTTTCTCTCTTCCCTCCTCTCTCTCTCTTTCTTTATCTCTCTCTATCTCTCTCTTTCTTTATCTCTCTCTCTCTAACTCTCTGTCTTTATCTCTATCTCTCTGTCTTTCTCTCTCTCTCTCTATTTCTCTCTCCATTTCTGTCTCTCTCTCTTTATCTCTCTCTATCTCTTTCTCTTTCTTTTTCTCTTGCTCTGACTTTCTCTATCTCCCTCTCTTTATCTTTCTTTCTCTGTTTCTCTCTATCTCTCTCTCTTTCTTTCTCTCTCCCCCCCCTTTCTTTATCTATCTCTATCTCTCTCTCTTTATCTCACTCTCTCTCTTTCTCTCTCTCTATTTCTCTCTCTGTCTCTCTCTTTCTTTATCTCTTCTCTCTCGCTCTGTCTTTCTCTCTCTCTCCAACTCTCTCTCTATTTCTCTCTCTCTCTCTTTCTTTATCTCTCTCTATCTCTTTCCCTTTCTTTTTCTCTTGCTCTCACTCTCTCTATCTCCCTCTCTTTATCTCTCTCTTTCTTTCTCTGTATCTCTCCATCTCTCTCTTTCTTTCTCTCTCTGTCTCTTCCCCCACCCCTCATCTCATCGGGTGAGTTGGCGGAAACTGAGGGCACGGTGGGGGAGATGCTGGGCAGGGAAGGAGTCACTGCGGGGCTTAGCGATTCCAACTGAATCTTCCAAATTGGGGCTCTTCCAAATTCTGCCGAGGCCCCTTCCTAATTCCAGAGGGTCTATGGCAGGAAGAACAGGCCTGGCATCATGTTGGCCGGAACTTGGCCCCTTCCTCTGTAGAGACTTGGTAGAAGGAGGCCCTGAGTATGATTTGTTGTGTGTCTTTCGGATCACCATCAGATAGTTGTAGGAAGCTCTCGCACAGTGTCCTTACTGGGGGCTGGGGGAGCAAGCCAGACTTGTCAGCATCCGGCTTCTCGCTGGTGCCAGCGGGCGTGTACGGGAAGGGGGGGGGGGGGGGGAACATAAATCCCTGTGCCAGCGCGTTTACCCCCCGGGATAACGGGCAGCACTTGTGTAGCCCTGACCCTGTAGCTGAGCTGGTCTCTACCAGCTCAAAGGGACAAGCGGGATGCTCACTCATGAGGCACATAAATCTCAGCTGGCAGTGCTGGGGTGGGGCTAAGGGAAGGCAGGCACTGCCAGAGGGAGGTTTAGGCCAAGGCCCTTCCCCCACCAAACTGCGCCCCCGCCCCGGCAGGGTCCAGTGGCATGTTTTGACAAAGTGCAAGGGCGTACTCTTCTGTACTCCGTCCCATCAATCCACACTGCAGAGACCGGTTATCACAGGCCTCTTTGAGGGAGCTTCCTGTGTGGCTTTGCAACCGTGAGGCCCTTCGGGGTGGGGGAGGGGAGTTGGGGCCAAATCCCAATGACTGCGCCAGGCGTTTTCCTTTTCCTGCCGGCTCAAGGCGGCGCTCACCGTCGGAGGACTACCGCGGCACCTAATCGTTGGCAGCGGTGCCTGGGCCGCGGCAGCTATTTTGTTCCCCGAGCAACAGAGCCCGTTCCGGGAAGATGCCTGAATTATTCAGCTCGGGTTGAGCGCGGCGGGGATTTGATCCCGCAAACCTTTTGTGGGCTCCCAGTGGCTCCATTTTGCAAGCGGGAAGCGTACCCCTGCTCTCATTGTCTGTGCTGCGAGAGGCAAAGAGGGCCCCATTTGTCCACTGCGTTCTTACACTAGGCATCGCAGTGTGTTAAACTCTGGCAACCGAACTGCCTGAGGCCTCAGGACACGTGACCACTCACTAACCCGTTATACAGTTGGGGAACGCAGCCCTTGTCGTGTCAGGTTTATCCCATTCTGCTCCTCACCCCAACTCACAAAAGAAAACTTCAGTTTTGCACCCGAACTGGTCTCGTAGCCTTCCATCCCCCCCCCCCCCCCCCCCCCTGTTCTTGCTGAGGCACCTAGGGAATGGCTTGCCAGGCGTTTGCGAAAGCTTGAAACTTGAGTCCAAGACAATGTTCCATTGCTCAAGCGATGCTCAGGAAAGTGTGTGTCATTTCCAGCTCTGTCTTGGCACGCTAAGCAGAAGCACAGAAGGCAGCCAAGGCCATCCTGAGTTTAATGTCAAGAAATCGCAGTGTTGAAACACATCCCCTGTATGTCAGAGGGTTGGGGGAGATTGGGGGGGAGCAGGGCTCAAGATGGAATACCACGTTCCAATTCTGGTCTCTCTGCTGCAGGAAGGATATTGTGAAACTTGAGAGGGTGCAGAAAGTATTAACAAGGATGTTGCAAGGGTTGGAGGGATTGAGCTACAGGGAGAGGCTGAGTAGGCTGGGGCTATTATCCCCCTGGAGTGTCAGAGCCTGAGGGGATGACCTTACAGAGGTTTATAAAATCATGAGGGCCTTGGATAGGGTGAATAGTCAAGGTCTTTTCCCCAGGGTAGGGGAGTCCAAAAGCAGAGGGCATAGGTTTAAGGTCAGGGTGGGGAAAGATTTAAAAGGGACCTAAGGGGTAATGTAGAGGGTGATATGTGTATGGAATGAGCTGCCAGAGGAAGTGGTGGAGACTGGTACAATTACAACATTTAAAAGGCTTGTGGATGGGTACATGAACAGGAAGGGTTTAGAGGGCCAAGAGCTGGCAAATTGGACCCGATTAATATAGGGTCCATCTGGTCGGCACGGACGAGTAGGACCGAAGGGCCTGTTTCCGTCTGGGACAAGCCTGTGACCCTACAGGCTTTTGTGGGAGACAACCCAATCTTCAGACTAGCGCCCCCTGGCTGTTGCCGATAGGGCACCTTGAGGCCGAGGGCTGTGCCGGCAGCACCCCAAAACTCTGGTACCGACCGTCGCTGCGGGGGAGTGGGGAGGTGGCCAGCGATGTCCCCCATTTGCAAAGTGTCCCGGGGGAGGAGGTGGGGAGGAACGCCAGGTGTTTTATTATTTTAACGGGAAAGAAAAGGAGAAAGGCTTGTGGGGCCCGCAGTACTTAACAACAGAAAAAATAGCAAGGCCAGAACCCACCCGTTTAATGTGAAAAAGATGTCAGCAATTGCACCGTGGCTCGACGCTCCCTGCTGATACTTTTGTCGCAGCAACCCCTTCAGGGTTAGGAGTTGAGCTCACGAGATTCAAAACTGTTTGCGATCTGGCGAAAGACCAATGTCTGTTCCCATCCGGGGTTTTGGGGCGAGGCTGGTCTAAGAAGAAATCTCGAGGCCACCCCACCGCCCCTCGAATGTTAACGGCTGGCGCTGCCTGTTCTTCTCCGTGCAGAAAAACTCGAGGGAGCGATGGAGGGAGGTGACCATTCCAGGTGACACCTACTCGTACACCATCAGGGATCTGAAACCCGGCCTCACCTATGAAGGCCAGCTGGCCAGCAAGCCGCAGTACGGCCGGACAATGGTCACCAGCTTCGAGTTCACAACCTCCTACGTGACACGTAAGTCGCAGCCCCTCCCCAGCCGAGGGGGGCTTTGCAGCCTCCTCCGCTCCGGGCAGCGGCGGGGAGCTTGGTGGGGGAGGTGGTGGTGTGAAGAGTGTGTGTTTTGGGGGGATAGGTGGGGGGGTGGGGGGGGTTGTGTGGGTGGTACCTCTGCCCTACTTAAAATTCACTCACGGGAAGAGGGCGTCACTGGCCAGGCCAGCATTCGTTGCCCGCTCCCAATTGCCCACAGGGCCACGTGGTTGCTGGCCTGGAGTCACGTGTAGGCCAGACCAGGTAAGGAAGGCGGGGGGGGAGGTTTCCTTCCCTAAAAGGGCATTAGCGAGCCAGATGGGTCTTTCCGTCAATCGACAATGGTCATCGTTAGACTCCTAATGCTGGATTTTTATCGAATTCAAATTCCACCGTCTGCTGTGGCGGGATTCGAACCCAGGTCCCCAGAAGATTATCTGGGTCTCTGCGCTCACAGCCCAGCGATAAAACTACGAGGCCGTGGCCTCCCCATTGACCTCGACGTGGCGCGTCTTTGCACGGTCGAACAAAAGTCGGAAGCGGAGTCCCCTCTCCAGTTTCTGAGGTTTTCAGTTCGATCCCCAGCTTTGCGGGTATGGGCTGGGGTCAGGAGAGTCCCAGATTTCCACACGTGCACCCCACCCCCCCCTCCATTTTGTTTTAATGAAGCAGTGCTTGCTGACGTCGACCCTGACGCCACTGTGGCGCTAACAGACGCCACGTAGGAGGCTGTGTCGGCTGCCTGAAGGACCCCTCCCCGCTTTCCCTCTTCCTGCTCCGCCAACCAGAGACCCCAGATGGCAGAGTGAGCCAGGCTGCGACGGGGATGGGGTGGAGCCGACCAGAACTCCATTCTTTTGGAGCTGGGAAAGTGGTGTATTTGTCACTACCACCAGCCCCCACCTCGCTTAGTTACCCAGTGGCAACGCCCCCACCTCTCCCCTCGCCAGAAAGGGCTCTCTTATCAACCCACCAAAACTTTTACATCGTATTGGAACGGGCAGATGACTTTTCTGGACTTGTGGGAATTAATCGTTGTTGCCGATCTGTCCTCCTGCTCGGGGTGAATGCTCGACTATTGTTCGACAGTTTCAGTGACCCCTGTGCTTCACCTTTGCTCCCCCTCACTGCCCCAATCCTGACAGTGTCTCCGACTCAGGGTGAGACAGAACTGTTGCCGGAAGGAGACATCATTAGGGAGTCCTCGACCACAGAATCCATCACCGAGGTCACCTCCAGCAGCTTCGTGGTGTCCTGGGTGACTGCGTCTGACACGGTCTCTGGGTTCCGCATCAAGTACGAGCTTAGCGAGGACGATGCTCAGCCTCAGTACCTTGGTAAGTCCGGAAGATGTAGGAGCAGAATTAGGCCATTCGGCCCTTCTAGTCAGCTCCACCATTCTCTTTCGTTTTCTTCTTCTTTATTCATTCACGGGATGAGGGCGTCGCTGGCCGGGCAGCATTTTTTGCCCCATCCCTAATTGCCCAAAGAGAAGTTAAAAGTTAACCACATCACTGTGTGGGCCTGGAGTCACGTGTAGGCCAAACCAGTTAAGGATGGCAGTTCCCTTCCCTAAGGGGCATTAGTGAACCAGATGGGTTGGGTTCACTAATTCACTATCATTATTAGACTTTTAATTCCAGATATTTATTGAATTCAAATTCCACCATCTACCATGGCAGGATTCAAACCCAGGTCCCTGGAACATTATCTAGTCTCTGGATTAACAGTCCAGCAATAATACTACTAGGCCATCACCTCCCCGTGACTGATATGCCTCTCCATCCCATTTTCCTGCCTTCTCCCTGTAACCCTTGATCCTCTTACTAATCAAGAACCGATCTATCTCTGTCTTAAACACATTCAATGATTTGGCCTCCAGAGCCTTGTACTGCCGTGAGTTCCGCAGATTAGCCACCCTCTGGCTGAAGAAATTCCTCCTCATCTCAGTTCTAAAGGGCTCTCTCTTCACTCTGAGGCTCCTAGTCTCTCCTACTCGTGGAAACATCTTCCACATGTCCGCTCTATCCAGGCCTGTCAGTATCCTGTAAGTTTCAGTCAGATCCCACCACATGTACCTCTCCCCCAGCAACCACCCCCCCCCCCCCCCCACCCCCCCTCCCTTTCCAACTCCATTGGGTACAGACCCAGAGTCCTCAACCGCTCCTCGTGTGACAAGCCCTTCATCCCCGCAATCGTTCTTGTAAATTTCCTTCCAAGGCCAGCCTGTCCTTCCTTCGATACAGGGCACAGAAATTCTCACAGTATTCCCAAATGCGGTCTGACCAGATCCTTTTGCAGCCACAGCAGTACATCCCTGCTCTTGTATTCTACCCCTCTGTCAAGATGAATGCCAACATTGCATTTGCCTTCCTATGCTTTCAGTAGCTGTTGCCCTTCAGTTCAAACCGAGTGGCTTAGGCTCCTAAAGAAAGTTGTAACTACATCTCCTGTTGCCCAGCCACCCATGCTGCTCCTTCACCAGTTACCCTGGCGATATTATTTCCGTATACACTCATCGACCTGCTGACTGTGGGATGCTGGAATTTGCAGTGCTTTTCCTTGCTGCCTTCATTCTCTTGCAGCTGGATAGCAATGAAGGTAGCGAATGTTTTATGGTTGGAGCGGTCTCCCCGTGCATCCCTCTGGTCAGGGCCTGCCTGCCGAACCAGGACTGGCTGCCAATTCCTGAACCGTTTGACGTTCTGGTTCAGCTGACGCTGGGGGCTGGGGGAGACTGTGAACGTATCGCAGACTTCTGGGAAACTGCTACCCAGCGCAGGCTAAGAGGCCAAGAGGATTTTGGGCCTTCCTTTCGAGGTTGGGAGTTGGGACAAAATGTCCCACAGCTGGAAAAGAGAATGGAGGACCTGCATTTGTGTAGCACCTCTCAAAGGGCGAGGTTGTCAAGCAAGGTGTTACAGGCTGCCTGTCGTTTGCCAGTGAGGAGGAAGTCTGCGTTTCTGTGTGTCTGTCTGTGTGTGTGTGTCTGTGTGTGCGTGCGTGTGCATGTGCCTGTGTATGGGTGTGTGCGCATATGTGTGTGTGTGTGTGTGAGAGATGAATTGTCTCGATCGCTTCCTAATGGTGAGAGAGGGTTGGAAAGCAAAGTGATGGAGGATGAGGTTCTAGGCTTTTCCACAGTGGCAGCACCGTATAGAATGTCGCCCACAGGGACGGATGGAACTGAGGGGATTCGATGCGAGTTAAGTCATTCCAAAGAGTTAGTCTGTTGTCTATGAGCTCGTATGCCTGGGAGGCCCAGGAAAGACAGATCTTAAGCCTGTATTTCCTTTCTGCTTCCAGATGTTCCAAACACAGTCACATCTGTTTCCATTCCCAACCTGCTGCCCGGCCGCAAGTACATCGTGAACGTTTATGAAGTCTCGGAAGATGGGGAGAAGCTGATCCTAACCAAGACGCCCACGACAGGTTGGTCACCGTGGCAACACCTCGCTGCCGCGTCGTCTTTAGCGGTCAGGAGCACCCGTAGTTTCCCGGGATAACTTTCTGCCTTTTCCTCGCACAGCTCCCGACAGTCCCACAGAGTACACAGTTGACCACGTCGATGAGACCTCCATCACCATTGAATGGTCCAGGCCTCAAGCCCCGATCACAGGTACGTGAACCCCTGTAGGATCCCAGGGCGCACCTCTCCTGCGATAAGGGCAGCCTGACCTTACAAGCAGCTATCAGTTCCTGAACTGTTCCTAGAAGTTCTCTGAATAGAATAGTCTCTGTGTGTTTAGGAGGGTGTCATTGATCGGGGTGGTGGGAGGGGGTTGGGGGTTAGCTGGGGTGGGGTGGGCAGTGTAGTCAGGGTTAAGATTGCTAGAGAGTGACCGCTGCCAGTGTGCTGGTCAGTGCCGTGCCTTGAGGGGACGAGAAAAGGCTGGAACACAACAGAGCGTGGGAATGACCAAGGGCCTGCTGTAGAGGAGCAGTGAAATGGCTAACGTTTTGACTGTGCTTGGGCACCCAAAACCTACGCACCCCCCACCCCCACCCCCCACCCACCTTCCCCAGGTTACCGTGTGGTGTACACGCCGTCAGTGGAAGGAGCCAGCACCGAGATCATTCTGCCCAGCACCTCGACCAACCTGACCCTGACCGACCTGCTGCCTGGCATCCAGTACAACATCAGCATCTACGCCGTGGAGGAGAGCCAGGAGAGTGTCCCGCTGGTCATCCAGCAGACCACCGGTGGCGTCCCTCTTCCAGGTATGGAGTGACGATCCCACAGCGCGTGGAGCGGGGATTTGGTGGGGGGTGGAGCGGTTGCTGCGAAGGTAGGGGGTGGGAGAGAGATTGTGGGTGGGAGTCCCGTGACTTTCTGAAAGAAGGGGATGGCATTTTTGGAGGTGAGGTGAGGGGGTGCTTTCCTCCGAAAGGCTTGCGCTCCCACTCCTGACACCGGATCTGTGCTGGGCTGCTGGAGGCGCTGTTCTTTCCTGGCGAGACTTTGAAAACCGCAGGCCCCGCTCCTCCACGCCTGCCTACCTCCCTTCGAAGCGAGGTGTTGGGGGTGGGGGGGGTGTGGCGGTCCTCGGTAAGGCCTGTCCACCCCGAGGCCTGGCCGATACTTGGCCGGCAGCAGCGGAAGCTGACAGGTGTGGCCCTTTGTCGCTGTGCCGTGCGCGGAAGCTGACCATGCGCCACTTGGCAGCCCTGCTTCCTGCATTACAGCCTGGGGCGGGGGGGGGGTGTGCTTCAAAAGTAAAGGTGGCCCCGGCAAGTTTACCTAAACGAAAAACCCGTACGGGGACAAAAAGGCAGGAACTTTTTCTCACCCTGCGCGGCGACCCACCCAGCCTCCTGGAATCCCAAGGCTGTCCACCCGACGAAAATCCCTTTTGGGTCGTGGGCGCCTTCCCCTCCAGGAGGCAGCTGCAGGGGGAGCGGGAGGCAGGAGGCAGTGTTTTGAGTCAAAAGCTCATTCCCGAGCAGCCGAATCGAATCGCAAAGAACTGACCGAGTTAAAACCCGTCCCTCTGTCGACTGGAAGACGACGGGGGGACGTTTCCCGGGGAGGAGAGAGGAGAACGTGAGCTGTCGGCCTGTGGCCCCCTTTCCCTTGTCTCAAGTGGACGCGAGCTGCTCTCGAAGGTGAGACGAGGGGACTGGCCGGGTCAGGGGTCAGTCAGCACCGTTCCCATGCCCTTGACGTTCTGAAACCTAAAACCGTCCCCGTGCCCCATGTTCTCTGACGCGGTTGGGATGACCTTGCTTGCAGTTCCCCTGATCATCAGAAGGGAGGCCAGACCACAAGAACAGAGAGAGAGAGAGAGAGCGGGGCTTGGCTGTGGGTTGCAAGAAATGCACAGCAAAGCCGCTGGGTTTCTGTTCTGTCTCAGTCTGGTCTGCCCTGAGCCTCCATGACCAAATAGGGACAAAATTAGCGTTGCTGGCTCAGCCAGCAATCCAATTCCCCCCCACCCTTCGTGGTTCACGATTCTGAGATTGTGTTGTCAGACAAATGATCACCCTGTACAGCAGCCCCGTCTGCAGCCAGGATTCCTCAGGGAAGCCGTTCCTGTTTTCCCTGCCCCAGGATAAATTCTGTTCAGTTCCAAAGACGACACTTTTCTCTCCAAGAGGACTTCACAGGATGAGTTGTCGGAAACATGCAGAAATCCTCCTCTTTACTCACACCCGTCCCTACACACACGCACACAGGCGCGCGCGCACACACCCCACCGGCTTCTCTCTCTGTCTCCTTCCAACTTTCTCAGCCTGTTCGGGAGAGTGTGGTCACCGCCAGTTCTTGGGCAGGTGGCAAATCTGCACTCAGCAGGATCCCACCGCAAACAGAGGCGCTGCTGACAGAGAGAATTTTGGAGCTCGTGCCACGGGGTCTAGTCAGAAGAGCTGGAGCGGTCGAAAGTGTGCACGTTATCCGTGCGGCACTCCCTCGGTACTGCGCCACACAGGCAGCATAAACAGTCCGGGCTAAAAATTTCTGGATTGGGCCTTGAATCTTCTCAACGCTTAACTCCAGGGGTCCAGATGATCTGGGACTTCTTTTATTTTTGGCCCCTCTTTGGATTAACGGGGTGGGGGGCAGACTCCCTTAAAGGATCTGCTACTCCCTCACTTGGGCAAGAGTCTTTGGGGAAAAGAGGAACTAGGCCGAAGCTGCGCTGCAACTGGGAATATTCGGCTGCGTTAGAAGAGGGAATGGTCCCGGATGTTATTCACAAGCCAGCTCATGGTGTCCAAAGTAAGAGGTGACTAGGGAGCTCAGAACGCAAGAGTGCTGCTTTCATTATGTGGCCTGGTGATTTACCTGTCTTAATGCGGTTAGCAGCGATAAGGGTAGGGGAGTTCCCCCGCTTCAGACTGACAGTTGGGGTAATGGATAATCTCAGGCCTAACCCAACACACAGAGTCTTGTGCTCCCGGATGAAGCGAGGGGGCTAAAGAGGTCCAGAGGGATGTTTTGAGAGTGAAGGGAATGTACGTTCTCAGTGTTAGGGTCGGGATTTCGTTGGTTCAGTGCTATGGGGGATTAATCCTGTCTACCTCAGTGGGGGAGCGGGGAGAAAATTTCACGGAAAAGGGCTGGGTTTGCACGGGAGAGCCGGGGATGATGGGGGGAAAGAGTTCAGAAGGTAGGCCCCAGGCAAGGGGCTAATTGGCGTTCTCCTCCTTAGTGATGTCCGGCATTGATGGCCTTAGAGCTGAGAGGCTTTCCCCTTCCCCACTACCAGCGAAACCCACCCACCACACCCCCCAACCATTCTGTGTAGCCTGGGTAGAGGGGGAGGGAGGGGGGGAGCGAAAGGGCTTTGGGGCCCTCACGGGGTGAACGTTTGGCCGCCGAGGTGCCTGAATTTTTCGGTGGAGCTGGGAAGCCGGCCAGGGGCCTATGCCCCGGTCTCCACTTGGGCAGAGATTAGGCGGCAGTGGTCGGAGTAGGGGTGGGGGCGCGGAGGGAGGGATTTGTGCCCCGGCTAATTACGTGTCTCTGCCTGCCTCGAAAGGGTGGCTACCAGTGAGAACAAGAGGCCTGGGCCTAAGACGGGGTATTGGAACTGACTTGCAGACAAAGGCTGGGGATTTTGTGGCGGGGTTGTTGGGTGGGTGGGGTAGCGACAGCATGCTGTTGCTTCTGTTTCATGGCGAACACTGGTGGCAAGTGTTCCCACTTGCAACTTTAAACTGAGGGGTCTCTTAGGCCACTTCAGAGGGCAGCTAAGAGTCAAGCCCATTACTCCTGGCCTGGAGTCACGTACAGACCAGACCAAGTGAGAACAGAGGATTTCCTTAGCTAAAGGGAGCTAGTGGTCAAGACCTTTTTTTTTTGAAGTAACAATTTGTGAGTGGTAGGTTTGATCATCGCCGGTTAAATGACCCAGCTATTACTGTGGGAATTGCCTTCAGTAAGGTAAACACGATGTGACCATTCCCTGTGGGGCAATTGCTTTCAGGATGTGAATAGAATTGAGGCGAGCAGCAGAATGTGGGGGGGGGGGGGAGGAGGAGGGAGGAATATGGAGGGACAGGGAGGAGGGAGGAATGTGGAGGGAGGAACGTGGAGGGAGGAGGGAGGAACGTGAAGGGAGGAGGGAGGAACGTGGAGGGATGAGGAGGAGGAGGGAGGAATATGGAGGGAGGAGGAGGAGGGAGGAATGTGGAGGGAGGAGGAGGAGGGAGGAATGTGGAGCGAGGGGGAAGGAGGGAGGAATGTGGAGCGAGGGGGAAGGAGGGAGGAATGTGGAGCGAGGGGGAAGGAGGGAGAATGTGGAGGGAGGGGGAAGAGGGAGAATGTGGAGGGAGGGGAAAGAGGGAGAATGTGGAGGAGGGGGAGAAGGAGGTAGATCAGGAGGAGGATGAAGAGGAGGAGGATTTTGGAGGTAGGGCTGAAGGAGGGTAGGAGTGACTGTGATGTCCCTGACGGATCTCTTCCCCACCCCCCCCACCCTCCCTCCCTTAGTGGTGGTGGAGACCCCCAGCAACCTGCAGTTCATCGATGTGTCAGAGAACAAGATCACCATCATGTGGAACGCCCCTCGCACCGAGGTCACCGGGTACCGCGTCACCGTGCTGGCCTTGGACAGGCCTGGCCGCCGGCCCACCGAGCTGCCCAGATCCACCAACAACTTTGCCGAGATCACCAGGTTACAGCCCGGCACCACCTATCGCTTCTCCATCTACGCCGTGAACCGTGAGGCCGAGAGCCGGCCTCTGGTTGGACAGCAGACCACCAGTAAGTGCTGACGGAGCCAGCGTTTGGGGGGTGG